CTGGTCAAAAAGGGACCCTGGTGGCTCTGGTCAGCACCACTGACCAGGCCGTTAGAAGTCCGGCTGGTGCAGGCTGGCAGGTTCTGTGCTCAGCTCTGCCTGGCTCCCGAGAAGCGGCCGGCACATCCCTCCAAAGCAGGGGTGGCCATGGGCGCTCCACGCATTGCTCCCGCCCCGAGCTCCGGCTCCATAGCTCCCATTGGCCAGGAACGGCAGCCAATGGGAGCGGCGGGGGTGGAGGCAGTGCATGGAGCCCCCTGGCTGCGTCTCTGCCTAGAAGCCAGACACGCTGCCTGCTTCCCGGGAGCCGCCTGAGGTAAGCACTGCCCGGAGCCCGCACTCCTTACCCCCTCCTGTACCCCAAATCCCTGCCCCAGCCCTGAGCCCCCTCCCACACCCAAACTCCCTCCTGGAGCCCACATCCCCTCCTGCACCCCAACCCTTGCCCTGCCCAAAGTCCCCACCTGCACCTCAAACCCCTCATCCCTAGCCCCACCCCAGAGACCCACCCCAGCCAGGGCCCTCACCCCCCACACACACACCAACCCCTGCCCTAGCCCAGTGAAAATGAGCAAATGAGCAAGGGTGGGGGAGAGCAAGCAAGGAAGGGGGAATGGAGTGGGTAGGGATGGGGCCTCGGAGAAGGACCGGGTCTTGGGGAAGGGCTGGAGAAGGGGGCGGGGCAAGGGTGTTCGGTTTTCTGCTATTAGAAAGTTGGCAACCCTACGGCCAGATCTTTGGCTGCATAACTCTAGCAACACCACGCTGCCCTAAACCTGGCAATACATAGGAAAGGGGGTTGTGACCAGGATACCCAGATTCCAAGGCAATCTTTGGCTTCTGGAACAGGTTGGCAGTTGGTACAGCTGTTGGTCGTCAATACAGTTTAGAACAATCTTTACGTTCAGATTAACCTCACTGATGCCTTCAGCTACCTTTAGGAAGAAACATGACCGTGACTTGTCACAATGCAGAGGACTGAGGTCCACCAACACCTGCCCACCGCAGTAATTGCAGGAAATGGATCATGTATAATAAAGTCCAGCTGATCTTAATGGATTGTAAAAATACTTTTAGTAGCAATGTCTAAATTAATATTAAAATTGCAATTCCATTTACAGTTCATCTTTCCCACTTCCCACTCATATGTACAGGCAAATGCAAGGTCCCTGTACTCACACTGTGAGGTACTAGAGATTCACTAAACCTGATACAACAAGGCTAGTTCTTAGGGTGAAATTAAATTAGGGAAAAGTTGAAAATTTTTCAAGGAATAAGCTTGGCCTTATTCCCATAAACACAGCAAGTTAAATACTATAGTCTTAACGGGTTCTTTCAAAAATGGTGATTACATGTATATCAGGTTCTCCGCTCTGTAATGAATACTTTTCTTCTTCCCACACTTCTTTTCTGTCGGAATAGCAAATCTTGGCTGCCCTTTTTTACCTCAGGAACCACTAGCATCACAAGAAAAAATACCAGATGCCATTCAAAATTATTTCATGATGAGTGAACTATCTTGTTCAGGCCATAACCTTATAGTTACACTAACCATGAGAGCCGCTGCACTTAGAGCAGTCAGAAATTGTCTGGGTGCTCAAAGGTGAAATCTTTGACTTGCTCCTCTTCACAATCATAACAGGCAGATGACAGTGATGTACTTACCAGGAGTGGAAAGAGCTTATTTTTAAGACTGTGACTCTGTATCAAACACTTCTGTGCTTTTCTACTGTAAACAAATTTTTGTTTTATAAACATTTTCTTTCTCAAAATCTAAACATCATTTGACTGGCTAAATGCCATTAAAGTTCTCTTTAAAATATAGAACACAATATATGGAAGTATAATGGGTTTTTCTGTAAATTGCACATTTAAAAAGTATTACTGCCTTCTATGGGGGGAAATGGTGTTTCTGAAGAGTCTGCTGTATCTAAACATAATAACCCACATTATTATCTTCTTTTCTTTTCAGCAAGTGCTAGCTCTCTCCCAGCATTATTCAGCACTGCGTGTTAAACACATCTTGCTGCAACATAACCTGAACCAGTGTTTTTGCTATTTAGAACCCCCATAGGTTCTTAGAACACAATGAATTTCTTCAAGGCAGTCAATGTTAAGTACCTTAACAGTGGATATCAAGGAAAATCTCCTCAAAGTACATGTTAAAGTAATGATGACGTACCTTCATTATTTATGTTCACAACTCCTATCAGCTTTATAACTGGGGGAAGCAGTTCACGTGAATGCCTCAAAAATTAAAAGTTAGCATGTGAAGCACATTATTAAAAGAATAGATGGCAAACCCACTGCAGAGATAAATTCATGCTCCCATCACTATGGTAAGGCTACAGCAATCTCATATGCAGATTTACGGTCCTTCTACCTGCTTAAACAAATTGCTGTAGTGAAAATGCTTTCTGTGTCAGGAATACAGGCTAATAAAAGCATAAAGTGCTTTTTACGGATCAAAGCAGTTGACTTAAAAAGTAATCTATGTATTACACAGATTTTTTTAAAATAATTATCTTTTCAATCATTCACTTTTAGAATACCTCATAGTTGATTGAAATGCAATGGAGGAGCCTCGTAGTTCTGCATATTTCAGTTAACTACTAATGGCTGCACTGGAAATGCTCAGAAGTAATTGAAAGACTAGAAGAACATAGTACCTCCATAGAATGTATTCCTAATAGCTTCTCTAGTTGTCATTAGCAAACATTCCACTGTCAAGAGACAGTGCCTTTTCAGGGTAATATCACAGCATCAAACAAACATATCCAGTGAGGCAAATTCACTCTAGAAGAACCTCTTGTCCCAGGGTGGGTGCTTTTAGGAAATATTTCCAAAACATTGCAAGCTGCACTGCTGATCAGACACGGGTGTGTCACAAGCAGTCACAATATCTAAGGTTCCTCTCAACCAAAAGATGTCTGGGGAGTCCTGTTCAATCCACTTCCTCCTGTTTTGGAGTTTCCTTCTTTGATCAGGATGGGCAGAAAGTGTAGAGTGGGGATGGGAGAGGGATGGAGAGAGGAAATAATTAATCTTGTTATTTCAAAAAGTGTGGTTGATTCCATTAGAAATTCTATTATACACCTCTACCCCGATAGAACGCGACCCGATATAACACGAATTCGGATATAACGCGGTAAAGCAGCACTCCGGGGGGGGGCAGGGCTGCGCAGTCCGGTGGATCAAAGCAAGTTCGATATAACGCGGTTTCACCTATAACGCGATAAGATGTTTTGGGTCCCAAGGACAGCGTTATATCGAGGCAGAGGTGGACTTATTTCAGGATGTGGGACAGAGCTTGGTTTGGAGATGCTGAGAAAGACAATGTCTAATGAACTTCTAGCCAGTTTTAAAATTTGGTAGAGGCATCCAGGTTTTTTAAATTATATTTTACAGCTATGCATTTCAGCAAATCTGGGGCACACAGAGAATCCTAGCTGCAAGATATTCTCAGGTTTCAACACTCTATATGCATGAACTTACAAGGGTGACTTCAGGGACAGAATAAATTAAAGGGACCAGTGTACAAGATATATTCATTCCAAACACTAACTTCCATTTACAGGCTATATCAGTCTAGAGCAAATGAACTCCAAGAAGGTTTTACAGCACAAATATTTTCTTTTGCATAAAGAACAAATGGATTCCACAGGCTAAATAAAATATCATTTTTCCCCACACACATTTTTCTCCACCAAACGAATGTCCCACACCTTTGAATAGCCCTATCTGTCTAATGTGGAAATTAACAAGCCCCTCCCAGGAGCCGCAGCAGTCAGCATGGCTGAGAGAAGTAATACCTTTTAAAATGTTGCTGTATTAGATTTTAAATGATCATTTTATACCCCAAATTGGTTTTTAATAGAACAGAAGAAGGTGAGAACAGAGCTGTCCTGAAGGAAGCCCACATGGAGCTGAGTCTATCCCGAGAGGAAGCTAGTGGCAAAGAGGCAAGAGTGGAAGTTGTAGAGAGGGGGCAGATCCTACACTCCAGTGGCACGAAGGAAAACAGAGTGCTGCCTTGGGAGTGCAGTTGTGGACTCCCTGATATAGGAGAATCCCAAAAGAAGAGAAAAACATGCATCTAACACAGCACATTTAGCTCTGTGAGAGGTCATGCAAGCTCCATTTAGATGGTGGATAATGATATAGATAATGATACAAAAACAATGAGGAGTCCGGTGGCACCTTAAAGACTAACAGATTTATTTGGGCATAAGCTTTCGAAGTGGGGTTTTTACCCACAAAAACTTATGCCCAAATAAATCTGTTGGTCTTTAAGGTGCCACCGGACTCCTCACTGTTTTTGTGGTTACAGACTAACATGGCTACCCCCTGATACTAGATAATGATACAGAAAGGCTTTGTTGGAAGTGGTAGGGAAGGGACTCCCAGTACTCTAAGGAGCGTAGGGTGAGTGTAGCCACGATGCTACACAATGTCCACTCACCTCTGTGCCTGGCAAGCTCTGCGGGCTAGTGGGAAAGCCCCATTCCCCACTCCCTCCCTCCATATTTTGGAGACTAGTGCCAACACTAGTGCATAAACCTTGCACTCAGAAGACACAAGGACTGCAGTTGTGCCCTGCCCCTGTGTTAGGGGTGCACAAACCCCCAAAGTATCCCATATTGTGTCCTATATGGAAGCTGGGCACCATCCGGCCCTATAGGATTACCATAGTGCTCTTTTCCCTTGTCAGGCTCTCTCATCCAATCCCCTTTTCCCTACAAATACAAGATAAAAAGTGTGTATTTAATACAGCAAGCTGTCTTGGTTTCTATATTGAGGAAATGATGCAACATGTGTATGACTTTCAATATGCACTAGCTTTTCTGAAAACTGTACTTCTGTAATTATTCTGGTGCTTCTTTTGTTGTATAGAATTTTCATATAAAATAACAAGTTAACTAGAACAAATTTTAGAATAGCATTTGAGGGTATTAATATGACTCTCAGTTATATTCCTTTGATAAATATTCAGCTCCTACCTGTGCAGGAGTAATCATCAATTCGTATGTATCCTGTTCTGCAGATACACATGAAAGACCCCGGTGTATTTACACACATGGTATTCTCACGACAATAATGCCGTCCTTCAGCACACTCGTCAATATCTGTGAACAAAGCACAAAGGTCAACTGATCAAATGATGCTGAGCTCTTCAAAACCACTCAGTATATGTCCTATTCGCTTCCATCAGTATTTAGCAGGACTAAAAAGTTGCTTGAACAGCAAAGCATTTTGGAAAGTTGTTAGGTTCTCTCTTCTAAAATAACTGTTTGAAGTGTTCAAACAACAGGAGCAGCGTGAGCTTTTTGGGAACAGCTGTTAGTGGAGGTACAAAGAAAATTACATCAGCTTAGATCTTTCCTAACTCCTTTTGAAATGTCGGTGTTGTTATTTCTCTGATTTAAATAAAACCAGCACATATCTAAGGGCTTGAAGACCAGACTGACTGCATGGGCACTGCAGTGTCATTAATCGCTATATATTCTACCTTTGATCCAATAGGTATCCTTTGTTTCTTTACCATAGGGAGGCCAGTGATAAGTTCTTAACAGATACTGGAACTCATTAAAAGTTTTTCCTAGAAACATGAAGTCACCAATTGGTAGTTTATTAGATATGTAGGTAGATACTTAGTCAAAGCTGTGAACCTTACATACAAGCCTGAAAGGAATTTATTTATATGGAGATCTGATATGATGGAGAAATTTGTACCCTGATAAAATCTCACAACAGACTGAATACCTGCTGCAATGTTAATTCATAGAGCAATTCAAACTATTGTAGACATGGAGCCTGACTTATCTGGGGCTCACTAGGTACACAGTACTAGTTAAATTTCTGGTGGCATGATATAATGGAAAAAAGAGAATATGAAGCACAGGCATATGTACACAGCAACTTCTGCACATTATTTTATGGTGTTTGCTGCTGCTGCAAAAAAGGATTATACTAATTTGGGAGTGGTTAGTAGCACACTGTGTAATGCTATCAGGTTAAATATGACCATGTAGATCATTGTTGCTACCACTGTTATATAACTGCAACAAATCTTGTACAGAGTGTGGCATGTAAAATGTCTATGAAAAAGTTATTTGCTGAATATCATTATGCCATTTTTATGCATGTATCATTTTTGTATCTCAAGTTATGAATATTAACTATGTACCTTTATTTCAAATGTGTTTGTTTCTGGATAACACCCACAAGGTATTTAGCCAGCACCTTGTGAAGAGACTATTCAAGTTGAATGGACCATCAAAGAGCACTTAACTCACAATGGACCATGGAAGATGCCTATCTACACTTATCAGAAGGGGTAGCCATGTTAGTCTGTGTCAGCAAAAACAACGGGGAGTCTTTGTAACATGTTAGAAACTAACAAATGTATTTGGGCATAAGCTTTCATGGGCTAAAACCAACTTCATCAGATGCATGGAGTGAAATATCTATCCTGGGAGTTGCCTTACCAAGTGTGTGTGTGTGGGGGGGTCAGTGCTAACGAGGCTCATTCAAACAGGGTGGATGTAGCCTATTCCCAACAGATGACAAGAAGGGGTGAATATTAACATAGGGAAAATTACTTTTTGTAGTGACCCAGCCACTCTCAGTCTTTATTAAGGCCTAATTTAATAGTGTCAAGTTTGCAAATGAATTCCAGTTCTGCAGTTTCTTGTTGAAGTCCGTTTTTGAAGGGAGACTGAAGTGCTCTCCTACTGGTTTTTGAATGTTACATAAGAACATAAGAATGGCCGTACTGGGTCAGACCAAAGGTCTATCCAGCCCAGTATCCTGTCTACCGACAGTGGCCAATGCCAGGTGTTCCAGAGGGAGTGAACTTAACAGGTAATGATCAAGTGATCTCTCTCCTGCCGTCCATCTCCACCCTCTGACAAACAGAGGCTAGGGACACCATTCTTTACCCATCCTGGCTAATAGCCATTAATGGACTTAACCTGCATGAATTTATCCAGTTCTCTTTTAAACCCTGTTATAGTCCTAGCCTTCACAACCCCCTCAGGCAAGGAGTTCCACAAGTTGAATATGTGCTGTGTGAAGAAGAACTTCCTTTTATTTGTTTTAAACCTGCTGCCCATTAATTTCATTTGGTGGCCTCTAGATCTTATATTATGGGAACAAGTAAATAACTTTTCCTTATTCACTTTCTCCACACCACTCATAATTTTATACACTTCTATCATATCCCCCCTTAGTTTCCTCTTTTCCAAGCTAAAAAGTCCTAGCCTCTTTAAACTCTCCTCATATGGGACCCGTTCCAAATCCCTAATCATTTTAGTTGCCCTTCTCTGAACCTTTTCTAATGCCAGTATATCTTTTTTGAGATGAGGAGACCACATCTGTATGCAGAATTCAAGACGTGGGCGTACCATGGATTTATATAAGGGCAATAAGATATTCTCAGTCTTATTCTCTATCCCCTTTTTAATGATTTCTAACATCCTGTTTGCTTTTTTAACTGCCGCTGCACAGTGCGTGGACGTCTTCAGAGAACTATCCATGATGACTCCAAGATCTTTTTCCTGATTAGTTATAGCTAAATTAGCCCCCATCACATTGTATGTATAGTTGGGGTTATTTTTCTCAATGTGCATTACTTTACATTTATCCACATTAAATTTCATTTGCCATTTTGTTGCCCAATCACTTAGTTTTGTGAGTTTTTTTGAAGTTCTTCACAATTCTTCATGTCTGATTTGTGTCCATTTATTCTTTTGCGTAGAGACTGTCCAGTTTGGCCAATGTACATGGCAGAGGGGCATTGCTGGCACATGATGGCATATATCACATTGGTAGATGTGCAGGTGAACGAGTCCCTGATGGTGTGGCTGATGTGGTTAGGTCCTATGATGGTGTCCCTTGAATAGATATGTGGACAGAGTTGGCAACGGGGTTTGTTGCAGGGATTGGTTCCTGAGTTAGTGTATTTGTTGTGTGGTGTGTAGTTGCTGGTGAGTATTTGCTTCAGGTTGGGGGGCTGTCTGTAAGCGAGGACTGGCCTGTCTCCCAAGGTCTGTGAGAGTGTATTTTACTGTATTTTTCACTCCATGCATCTGATGAAGTTGGTTTTAGCCCACGAAAGCTTAAGCCCAAATAAATTTGTTAGTCTCTAAGGTGCCACAAAGACTCCTCATTGTTTTTATCTACACTTAATGGACTTTCCTGAGGACATTTTAATTAGAATATGAGTAATGGCTTTTGCTATGACTAAGCGAAACATACATAGACATGTGACTTGCCCATGTGACTCCAAATTTCATCTTGTTACCTGTAATTTTCCACAAACTAGAAAAATGGGTTTCCCTTCACTTGGCAGAAGCTATAAAGGGCCCCGAAAACATCTCTATTTTGCCTCTTTCCTGCTCAAATCTCTAGACTATGAACTTATACTAATGGGAGCATTCTAACCAAAGGACTGAGGACTTTCCAATGATTTGGAAGCAACCAGAGACTTAACCAGCCAGTGGTTTATTCTATCACTGCTACAAGCCTGATCCAAGAACTTCGCAATTGTTGTATGCATTTGATTCCTTTAACCAATTTTAACTCACCTTTCTTTTATATATATATAAATAAACCTTTAGATATTAGATACTAATGGCTTAGCAACAGCATGATTATTGGGTAAGATCTGAGTTATATATTGACCTGGGTATGTGGCTGGTTCTTTGGGATCAAGAGAACCCTTTGATTGATGAAATTGGTTTTAAATAACCACTCATCATTAAGTCTAGGGTCTGGGTTGAATACAGCACTGGAATACCCTAGGAGGATGCAATTCTGACTTGTTAGCCAGTGTGGTGAGACAGAAGTTTACTTTTGTTGCTGGATTGGTATCTCTCATGGAAGAATAACCACCAGTTTTGGGGTTTGTCTGCCCTTTTCCCCAAGAGCTTGTCCTGAATTTGGTATTCTCAATTGTGACCCACTGAGACATGGTGACACACTGCCCCTGTGATACCAGTGCACAGACAAGTATCACTGAGCTGTTCAGTGCATGTATGGACCTCTAATTATATTAGCAAGCAGAGCCCCATATATTTTCCACAATTCCATGACCATGGAATTTGCCATAGAACCCAACCTTGCTACAAAATTGCACCCTAGAAACTAAGGGTTGGGGTTTTGTTTGTTTGTTTTTTAATTGTGCTTATGATCTCATGGCTACAAAAAACAACAACCCACCAAACAGAGAACAGAGCGTAAACTCATGCACTATTGTGTTCCTGCTGACAGGTCAAAATATAGACTGGAGTTATAAACTCAACTGGGTGTTGATTTGCTAGTGATGAAAAATTAAATGTCAGCAATGATAGCTACTGTACCTTACTGCTGATCCTTATAGCACTAACATCCAGCTAATATACTCATACCATAACACCTTCTAAACCTTTCCTGCTGGCAAAAGCATCAGCTGTCTGCTACCCAGCTGCCACCATCTCCTTTCCCCCTACAACTCCAAAATACTGTTTTGCATTGTCAGTACAAAGGTCTCTGGCACACTGAGCATTTAGAAGCCGAGTAAATCAAATAAATGCTACATGGATAGTGCACTGATTCTGTGTTAATTTTCATATTTAATTCAAAAAAATCCTCTATTCTTTATTTTACCTGACGCTGCTGTAGATTTTTCCAGTTCTGAGTGTCACAGAAATCTGGGGACTCTGTTGCAGACGTTAGATCAAGTTTGCCAAAATATGCAGGGCTTCACTGTCAGTGCTGAGTGTTAGTGACAATGGGCTGTTCTTCAGAAACCCAGTGCCCCCAACATTCCTGACTGTGATACTCAGGTTGCTTTTCTTTCCCTTCCCTAGGAGCTCTGCTGCTGGAGGGAAGAGAACCATAAGCAATGCTGTGACACTGCTGTAGGGCAGCAGTTGCTATTTTTATGTATTTTCATACAAAGTGCAACCTATACTTACAATCAGCACTTTCAGGCAATATGGTTTACCAAAACTAAATAAGAAAAGAACAAAAGAGACACCTCCATAAGAGCACAGGGGATGTATCTCCTCTGCACCTGAACTGAGAACAACATGGTAAGCTGTCTCCAGCAGAAAAACACAGTCACAGAAATTGAAAGGTGAAA